ATCGCGAGGCCAGATTGACAATCCATTATCTCCACAGAATCAAAAATAGGTGGTCAGCAGTCTCCTGTCCACTGCTTGGATTCAAAGTGCAGAAGGAATTTCCCTTAGAACCAGAACAGCTTGGTCTTGCACTGTTGCGTCCTTCTGCTTCGCGGATTTTGTTCATCTCTTTGGATCTGATGGAAGTGTTACTCAATGGTAGGTTTCAAGGCCAGGCTGGGCGACCCCAAGTAGATGTTTCAAGACATTGACGCAAAATTGAATTGCGCCACTCCAAGGATGGATTTGTCAGAACATCCTGTCAGAATGGCCAGGAGTAGCGCAATGGCAACGGCCAAGATGTGACCATCTCCGTGTCCGGCTGTCTCTAGCAGACTTTCTCGGAAGTATTGGTCATGAGGCCGTCCATGGGAGTCGTCACCCCGAGGAATCGACGTAGAATCCTTACCAGGGCATCTGTGACTTTGGTCTTCCGGTCAGCAGCCCATGGCTAAGGGTGGCTGCGATGGCGGCTTCTTGTGTCTCCCAGAAAGACCAGTTGCTGCAAGACCAGAGGAATAGTAACATTAAACTCAATTGGATGTGGCCAGTCATGACAAGGGCCGAAATGGTCGGAGTGCTGCGCATATTGTTCAATTAGCCGACCACAGAACGTACGGGCCACAAATTGGGAAGGAGAACCACTTCAATTGATATCGGTGCAATACGCCGAAAGGCTCTATGGGCGACAGTTTTGTTAGAGCCTTGCCTTGTCAAGCACCAAGAATATGGCATGCCTACTTTGGCCAGACGGGAGTTGCAGACACCCAAGTAGCGCTCTTCCCGCCATGACATTGGATTCCATGCTGCCCAGACTGCTTCACAGCTGCTACGGGGTACATTGGCGCAAGCCAGTCGGGTGGCAGTGAGCTGCATGCCCTGTTGCCCTTGTTCCTGCGCTTGGGCTAGTGCTACGCTCACCCATGGTTGCAAATGCTGCATTTGTCTACCTGAGTGATACGCATCTAGCTGAGGCAAATTATGGGGGCTTAAGTGCGGGCTTAACGGGGGCTTAAGGGGAGCGCAAGCGAGGGCTTCAAGGGAGGGCTTAAGGGGAGGCCCCAAGGCGAAACTTAAGGGAAGGCTTTAGGAGGGGGTCAAGCGGAAGCTTAAGGGAGGCTTCAATGCGTTGGCTTCAAGGGGTCGATCACAACGCGAATACATGACACGAATTAATTGCGACAATTGGATCGTGTTCAAAAGCATACACGGCGCCTTAGTGAACTCAATCATGGGCTGGCTGAGGACCGGCTACACAGTCCTGTAGGGCAGTCACAATGCCATAATGAGAAACCAGAAAACATATTTTTATTGTCCGAGCCGAGCCCGTTACCTTTCGGCGGGTCCGGTCTTGAGTCTTACTCGCGGACTGGCGGGGAATCGAACCACTACCAGCAGTCTGTCAGCGATACAAGAATGCCGCGATACCAACTGCACCACGAGGACGACCAATGAGAAATCAAAAAAACAGAACCAAACAACAAAAAACAAAAGCAAAACACAAACAACACAAAAGAAAACACCACAAAACAACAAACAACTAAAAAATACCCGAAACGCAAAAGTGACATTCAGAAAAGAGCAAAACCAGCGGAATACACGGTACCTCTGTCATCGGTTCGTTTTTGGTACCTGAGCTTGATATGTTGGGACCTCTCTTGGTCGAGGCCCTTGTTGCCAACTCGCCCTGAGGTGTTTTGTTCTAATTTCCGTAGTCTCGCGACACTGGAGTTCGACAGGTATCTGTATGCTCTGGTGGCGGCCTTCCGCGTGCTTGGACCATCTTCAGGTTGGTTCTTGATCGCGCCAGCCAGTTTGTCTCTTGCTTTCTCCTCTCGTGCTTTGGCCTGGTCAGTCCTCGGGGACAAGGGGGGAGAAGGTAAGTTGCCCTCTTGTGGCGCAAAGAGGCCAAGGATCGTTGCATCAGATTGAATCTGACCGCAATGCTGAGTAAAAGGTGCGTAATGCGGCGCGCAACAGTGCAAAACAGTGCGAAAACACAGTGCAACACACAGTGTAACACACCACGCAACGTGCAATTTACAGTGATTTTAGGCGATCTCGTCGAGTAGTGGTAAAATGCCCGTCTCAGGAAGCCGCGGATCGATTCCCCCGGGTACGGGGCCGCGATCGTGACGTGGTAGACGAGTAAGTCTCAATACACCGCGACCCGCCGAAAGGCACAGGGCGCCGGTCAAAAAAAAAGTGCAATTTACAGTGATTTTGTGTTTTGGGGAGACCAGGCGTGCCTCGGCCAGGCCTCGCCGAGCCTCAATTGCAGGCTTTGGAAACACGGGACCTCTTTCATCAACAGAACAGAAAGAGAAAGACTGCCATGACCAAGACAAGCTCGGTCCAATTTCAGAACCGAGCCTTAGAGCGACATCGGCCGTGCCAGATTCAAAAAAAAAAGCCATGACCAAGACAAGCAGGTACAAGGGGCCAGTTTTGGGTTCGTTTTTGGTACCTGAAATAGATATGATTTTTGGAGACGGAGTTGGGGCCTCCCTTGTGTTTCCTTCGTTGGTGACTGGCCATGGTTGCAGAAATCGGGTTCTCTTGAGAGATTTTTCCTGAACATTCCCAAGAAGAGTGGAAGAGGGGCACTAGCGCAAAAGTACAGAACAGCTAGAGCGTCTTCCCAAGACAGCTTCACAGCCTTTTATTCACGGCGTGTTGCCAGTCGGTGCGGTGTGCACAGGGTTACTCTATATCTCTCTCTTGAGCCTTGAAGGGCGCATACAAATGCGCTCAATACTCATGCAGTACCCATGTAGGATTCAAGTCAAAACAAAAACAAGCGGAGCCCCCCTTCCCGGCCGTGGATTGAGGAGTTCGAGTTCGACACTTTATGAGGCGGTCCCTGCATTCTACCTTTTGGAATTATACGGCTAAATTTGGCCTGGAAAGGGGCAAAAAATACAAAAATATTCCGGCAAGAGATTGCAAACAGTGTGGGGAGAGTAAAATAATATGGATGATGTTAATGTTGATGATAATGACTATGATGATAATGATGATGACGATGATCATGATGATGATGATGATGATGATAATGGCAATGATGATAGTGGTGACTATGATGATGATGATGATGATTATGATGATGATGGTGATGATAATGACTATGATGATGATGATGATGATAATGATTATGATGATGATGGTGATGATAATGACTATGATGATGATGATGATCATAATGATTATGATGATGATGATGATGGTGATGATGAGAGGAAGATGATGATGTGGATGTTGAGGAGGAGGAATATAATGATGTCGAGGAAGATGATGTTGAGGAGGAAGACCGATCCCAAGACCAGGAAACACATTTTGTGCGAACCTGCGGAGTCGCAATGCACATGGACACCTCACAACAGGCATTTTGCGCGGAAATTTATAGGGAAAATGCCGGACGCTAATCCCGCGGCAAGCATTTTGTGCGAACTTGCGCAGTCGACATGCACATGGGCATGTCACAAGAGGCATGTTGCGCAGAAATTTACAGGGAAAATGCCAAACGCCCCGGATACCACCTCGATTGAACACCGGGCTTTAACACTTACCGTAAGAACCCCTCAGTGTGGCCACACTGTTTGGGGAACAACTCTGCAGCTTTCGGATAGAGTAGAACGAATGGGCTGTCAAACCTTTGTAAGAACAGCCTGAACTTACTTTGGGTAGCAGATATTCAGATATTCTTCAATGTTTTTTCTAAGTCTGCTTGGTTGAGGCCTTGAAAACAAACCAGTCCCTGACGACCACCTCTTCAGAAGACTTTGACCCAGCGGTAAAGAACGCCTGATTCAAACCGTTTCAAGTGTTTCGGAAAGTGCCCAGGATTTGGTCTGTCTCTAGCGGGAGACTTTATCCCGTTTCCGACCTCTCAAGTTTTTTCACATGTTCGTTCTTTGGCCTGTGTCTGTAGTATGAAATTTTCTTACAATCGTGTTTGAGTCTTCACGGATCTTTTCAATTTCTTCCCCTTTTTGCAATGTCGCAAATGCTGCCCAGATTTGTTTGCCAAAAAGTGCCAACCAGTGTGGTGATGATATGTGATGATGGGGGGAACGAAGACACCCAAAAACAAGACATATAAGGGTTCAAGAACATTCAATAGACCTAAGCACATGCCAGCAGATGAATCAGGTGACATGGTTCCCAATTGGCAGGCCCGGCAGTTGCCGATTGAAGGTTTCACTCACCTTGATGGATTTGAGGCGCAAGAAAACCAGACTTTCAACTTTGGACATTATTAAACCTATTTCAGGACCAGTGTATCCCTTTGTTCCAGTGTATCCCTTTGTTTTTAAACCTATTTCAGGACCAGTGTATCCCTTTAAGCAGTCCCACGTACAGTTCATGATGGCAGCCGAGCTGAACCCAAACTAGCTCTGAGGCCTTCAGGCATTTTCAGGCGATATCGCAAGACTCGAACGCTCAATGCGAGCCACCAGACATGGCCATGGGGTGATTTTCTTACAGCAAACCCAATCTTTTTGGTTGGTTTCACTACATTTAAACAGCGGGCATGAAGACGGGAAAGAAACAACACAGCATCACTTCCATGTGTTTTTTTCTCAAGGATGGCTCAAGACGAGGATATGGGTTCGGAATTCCGGAGTGCAAAATTGACATTAATTATGGCGCACATTCTTTCAGATCCGTTCGATGATTTCGTTGCTTCACTGGTTTGACTGAACAAACACACTCTGATGGCATCACTAGACACTAGCAGCTAGCATAGATAATAGGGATTCCCAATTCATGGATGATGATACTTTTCAAGATACTAATGGGCAGTATCATCTCATATATTAAACAACAGAGGTCTAGCAGCCACTGCGCAGATGCTGTTGGAATAATCCCTCCCACCTATTACAAAACATTTTCATTGTATGGTCCCAAATATATGTAAATTCCCTTACTAAACCATGGTTTCTGGCGGACGTTTGGTCATGTTTCGCAGTTTTCTCTTCCTCCACGAGGCGGGGGAGCTTAAAGTTGTGCAGCAGAAGATGCGGTTTCAGATGACAAATAAGGGTTTGGGTTTAGATGATTGCATAGATGTTGGGAAATTTCATCATGTGCATGTGGGTAAGACAATGCCATAATCCACCAGTCATCACCATGTTTACAGGTGGTATACGCCACCGTTCCCAGTGGGTGGTTTATGAGTTTATGGCATTGTTTTATCCACATTATGCCTAATAAATCCATGAATCACCATTTTCCTGGTCGCCAGTTGTGGGTACACCCCGTTGATCAGAGCCAAGCATTACACCAAATGGATGTTGTTTCAGCCCATTTAAGCATTGCTTGATGGTTGTGCCAGGCCTGCTTGATTCACGGCTGGAGTTTTGGGACGACAGCATCAAGGCCACGCCCCGTTGGTCGTTTACGGGGGCGTTTCAGCATCACACCCAGTCGATCTGAAGTGATTTTGAATCCAGATGGATTGCCTGAAGAATGGCTGGATTTAGCTGAATCAGATCATGACCCAGAGCTTTGGGAAGAGGATGGTGTTCTACTGGGCAAAGGTGCTTTCGGAGTGGTGGCTCGCGGGATCAACAAGGAAACTGGGGAGCTGGTTGCCATCAAACGGATTTCTCCCAGCCACAATTTAGCAGTGGCCACTGCCAAGAATGAAGTGGAGGCCGCAAACACATTGGGTGAACACCCCAATATCGTGCAAATGAAAGCGCATTTTCTGGCACCGCAAAAAGAAGGAGAAAAGTACCGGGAAGCGGTTTTGGTGTATCGTTTGGCCTTGGGAGGTGATTTGCAGCAGTGGATCAACAAGCAACACGGCAATTCCTTCAGTGTAGACTATAGCAAACCAAAATTTACAGATGAGGCGCTCCGAATCATGCGACAATTGGTTGCTGCCTTGCAGCACATCCACAGCAAAAATATCCAACACCGAGATTTGAAACCCGCCAACATTCTGCTGAGTGCCGGGTGCACTGCATTGATTGCGGACTTTGGGATTTCGTTGGTGAATCGATCCTCCTTGCGAGTACAGGGACATGCAGCGTTGGGTGACTTCTATTTCATTGATGTGGACTCATTGGTCACTAAGGAGATGGGAAATGATGGGAATTCACTCATGAAAACCAGATGAGATGGGGAATTTTAACACACCCAACATTTTCTTGAAATACTTTTTAATGTAACCAAAGAAATGACGAAAAAACGCTTTTCGTATTGGGCGAAAACTGGGCTGAATCGATCATAATTCCATGGCATTCCAGATATCTAGCTGTTTGGATCAGGTGGTGCTGATATGTCAGATATTTTATCACACCTGGGATTGCTGGATGATCCATTAAAGGTCACTGGGTCACGGATATTTTTCTGCTCGACCAATCTGTGAGGAGCTTCCCTACACCTTGGACGATGACATCTATTCCCTGGGTGAAGTCTTTGTTCGCATCCTCTACGGCCGCTATGCCACTGGTGTGGACCTGGCCTCTGCCGGAGCCAGTGGAGTGGAGCTACCACCGGTGGCGCGGGTCTTGAATCAGATGTTGGAGCCGCGAAGTGAACGCTGCAGCCTGTCCCATGTGTCGCAGGTCTTAGATGATCTTCGCTTTTTGTCCAAACCTTCGGAGCCCCGGCCTATTGTGATGAGCATGTTCCTGGGCATTGGATCTGTTGCCACGGTCAGTGCGGTGCTGAAACATTTGCGCAATCGAAAGAAGGACATGTCCATCTTCAGTCGGCAATCGAAACTCCACGCGAGTTTCTGTGTGGCGCAGGGACAGGGACAACGTGCTTCGCTGCAGGATTACTACTGCCATGCGCGGATCCCCTGGGATCTCCATGCCGGAGCCAGGTCATGGCGGCTGCTGGGCATCTTTGATGGCCATGGTGGGAAGGACTGCGCCAAGTTTGCTGCGCAGTTCCTGCCCCATGAAGTGCGACGGATGCTGAGGGAAGAGGAAGAAGAGGCTTCCAAGGCTGGAAACCATAAGACACCTAGCATTTTGAATCAACAAAAAGTCACCATGCGGGTGTGTCAAAGTTTCAGGCCATTTTTGGGGAAGTTTGATCCATGCCAATATTCTCCCAGCCAGAAAGTGTGCCTCTTGTGACGCGACGGGTAGGCGGAGTCCTATGGACAGCAATGCTCCATTGCTGCTGCTGCATTGCAACAAGCTTTGGAGAGCTTGGACCAATTGTACGTGAAGTTTAGACAGAAGAAAGGCAATATGGATCTTTGCGGCGCCTCAATTCAGAAAGCTGTTGTTTTTAAAGGTACACCTTTAGAGATACACTTGGTATAATATAGATATCGATGTATATAACTTTCTAGAATTATATATATATATATATCATATTATATATCTGTATGAATATGCATATGCATTGTGCATATGAATATGCTTATGTAAGTATGATGAAAGGGTACACCAATATGGCATGGTTTTTGGATCTGGAAAAAGCCATCATGGATCCCATGGTGTTAGAGTTGGACCCATGATGCCTTTCCAATAAATGGGCCTTGAAAATCGAAGGGACAACTTCAAAAGATGATGCCATAAATTGGGGTATACGTTGTAGCCATGTTATAGCCGATTTTCGGGCACATCCAGCCTCTTAGGTACCACTGCCGCGGCAGCGCTGTTGTGTCCCGATGGCCAACATGCGGTGCTGTGCAACATCGGTGATTCGCGGGTGGCGCTGGTAGGGGATTGGACGGTGCTGGACCACAGCGGCCACGAACCACAGCAGCTTCCTGGCTGTGTCCTGACCCATGCGCACCGGGTGACGGATCCAGAGGAGATGGATAGGATCGATGCGGCAGGTTGGGGAAATCCACGACTTGTCGGGTGAGATGGGCAAGATCAGGGGAGACACCACTTTTTGGGATGTAACTGCCAAGTATATTGGGAGACAAACCAACATCACATGGAAAAAAGCTCTTGGGATCCCTTGTGACTTCGTGGATTTCAGCCAGGTGGATTCGTGGAGTATGGAGCGAATGGGCACCGTGTGAACGGTGTCCTGGGCGTATCGCGTGCCATCGGCTACTGTGGCATCCCTGACTTTGCTGAACTGGTGCCGTCGCTGTCGGACAGTCTGATTCTACGTAGAGACGCTGGGGAGCAGGTGTTGCTGGGCTGCACCCAAGGGCGCCGGTGGTGGGAATGGATCGTTTTTGGATGGACATCGCCGAAAGATGGAGGGCGGACCGATTCTTGATTTCATTGTGTCTTTTCCAAACAGGAGGCAAACCTCCCACCGTACCTTGAACACTTGAACAACTGAACATAAACTGCCAAGAGATGCAGCATCTGGACGGGCTGAATCTTCCAATCCGTTGTGTCACCAGGTTGGTGGCACTTTGTACTGACGGACTGTGTCAAAGCCGCAAGGATGAAGAGGCCTGGGCCCAGGAAGGCCACCCCTTGGAAGGCCCTTGATACCATGTTTTTTTTGTGTTTTTTCTGGTGGATAAGTCCAAATGAATCAGCGCTCAGTTGTGACCTCTCTTGATGTTTTGATATTCTTTTTGGCCCATTTGATAGTTTGACCAGATGGTTTTGGCCCCAGGATCTTGGAGTGGGTTGAAATGAATCCTGTGCCATGCCACGAGGCTGTTGCGATTTTCAAGGAGGTGGCAAAGGCAGAGAGTACCTCGGATAGACTGAAAATGTGCCTGGTGGCTGGTGGCCATTCTTGAAGGTTGCTGGTCATCCCATGTTCTTTTTGCTCATTCCCTGATTCTCCCCTTGTAAAGAAGTCGTCTCCATCATTTTTGCTGATCTCCCGACCTTTGCTGGTTGTATCCTCGTTCTTGCTTCCATCGTCCCATGACATGTGTACTTACCTCCATAATTTCAATGATTCGATGGTGGAAACGCAGGTCGCAGTCTGCCATTATTATGTTGTGTTCCCGATAATTTTCACAGGACACCATGACTTTCCTAACAAGAATCCCCTTCACCTAATTCTGGTAGAAGGTGGTTCACCTCCAGTTATGTTGGGCTATAAAAACCCATCTAGCTAGCTATAGGCAATGAATGGCAATGATATATCTACCATAAGTCCACAAGCTAAGTAGGGGGTGGGGTGCATCCTTAGTAAATGGGTGTAATCCCGTATTATACCTCCATTTACATATGGAATGTAATATCCCCACTTCTATATGGGATTATAATATGGCTTATATAAGTGACATATGGATTATAAACCACGGATCCGATGCGTGGTTCTCTCCCAGAGATGGGCTTTTCAGGTTATGCCTCACTTGAGAAGAAGGTGGCGGAAGCCCTGGACGTTGCTGGTGGGGGTGTGGCCTCCGACAATAAGGCGACATCGTGGTGAGATCGGAGATCTTTCTGGGTGGTATAAACCATCCCCAACTGGCAGATTTATGGCATTGGCTTTCCCACATTATCGACTTTCTTGAAAATACAACCTAGTTAGATGGGGGTGTTTTTTGATGCGGATCGTGGATTGTTTGATGGTGCACCATGGGTCGGTACGACTAGATGTGCAAAAAATTGGCAGTGCGTTCTTGGGTGCAAGTCTAGTGAGTCTAGTGTTTGACTTGTAAGATGTTCAGTAGGGCAGAGGTTGCAGCTTATAAATTCTAGGTTCATGGGGCAATGAATCTGATTGGGTGGATGGTTTCCCACGCCTTTTCAACTGAGAGTCCATGTGCAGGTGCTGTTTGGTAATCATAGCACTGGACCATATTTCCCATTTAGTTCTGATAACATAACTATGGAAAATCACCACTTTCAATGGGAAATCCACTATTTCAATGGCCATTTTCAATAGCTTTTTGTATGTTTACCGGAGGGTATGATGTTCCCATGTTCCCATCCAATTTCAAGGGGATTTCCCAGCCAGCCACCGCCAGTTGCGGTGGGTTCGTGCCAGCAGGACAATGCCACGCTGCTGGCTTGCTTGCTGCCGGAACTTCGGGACGGAAATAGGGGGGGCGGAATTTCCACCAGATTCCCGGAATTCCCCGTTTGTCATAAGGAAATCAGGGGGTATACCCTCTGGTAATGACTAACATAGCTATTGAACATGGCTTTTTTAAATGGGACAATCAACTATTTCTATGGCCATTTTCAATAGCTATGTTAGTCATTACCAGAGGGTATAACGGTAATAGACCCCATTCCAACAGTGTTTTTGTAGATGTTTGTAGTTGGAATGATTTGAACAAAAAACGACAAACACGATTGGATCATAAAAATGGGACACTCCCATTTTTGGACTCAACCCATGTCTCGACGTGGGGATCCAAAAACTGAGAACTGAACTTGGGTCTGGTGCCAGGAGTGAGCGCAGCGGACCCATGGTCACTGGTGGACGAAATTGGGAGCGAAAAGACTTGAAAGATCTTGAAAGTAGTAATTAGAATTAACTAGATAGTTATTCATAGGTATCTTTTTTCAAGTGGCCATTGTACATATCACACCCTGCCACACTTTAAAGAGGTTTTTCAACATTGCCTGGGCCTTGACAAAGGCATCAGGGTCTCAACGGTCTTAATGATCTTAATGAGGGCAGCAAATGTCTGTCAATCGTGAACTCGGTTTCTGGCAGAAAAATGCGGATGAACTTTGCAATGAATCCAACTAGCAATTTGCAAATATCTCACCTTGACCAAGCACTGCAGTGCTACGGCGGCAAACTTAGATTGTTTTGGCTCACAGCTGCCATTCCATGACAGAATCTCATCAAACCAAGCACGAATTACTACACCAAGGAGTTGGGACACAGGAAGCACCACGGGACACTGGGCGAGCTTTGTTGACCAGAATTTGAACCAGAACTTCATCATTTGCTTGCAAACATGTGCAAATCTAAGTCTGTAACAAGTATACAAACCCAGGTCATATTCATTATTGTTTTCTACTGCAAAGAGTATCGCCCTGCAGCCATGTGGAGAAGCTTGGGCTACGAGAGAATATGTGCCACGGTTGAATAACAACAGCACTAGGCCCTGGGGAGGGTCATCCAATCTTGAAAAATATTCTTAAAACATTTGGTCCTGTCCGACAACACTGGACAAAAGCATGGGCAACTCGTCCTGTAACAACAAGTCCGCTTCCTCGTCAAATTTGGAAAGGTGTGGCAAAATGAAATCGAAAGTCCAGACACCCACATTTTCATATCATTGCAAACCACTCAACCACTCAATCATTGAGTTTTCGGGATCAACGAATCTTTGGCCGGTGGTTTGTGATCCTGGGAAATCTTCGAGGCGTCACCAGGGTGTTTCAAGTCCAGCTCCACACAAATTCCCACAAACCACGAAATCCAATTCTTCACATTTCTGAACCCACTGTGGAAAAATCAAATTGTGGATGCACCCTGAAGATATGGATCCTTTCGTATTCCAGAGCGCAAAACGCCTGGACATGTTGTTCCACTGAAGTTATCCAGGCCCCGAAGGGTGCCAAAAAAATGGGCGAAGTTGGGTAGCCTGGTAGCCTGCTACTTTGGTGACTATGGTCTATGGTGTTTTTTTCACAGGTACCTATTGTTTTTTTTCACCTATTTCATCTACAGTTTTTCGAAAAAAATGCAGGGCCTCTTGGCGGCTCAGTCACATTGTTGACCTCAGGCCAGCCGAGATGAACATCGCAAATTTCTTTGTGCTGTTTGGTCTTACCCTTGATACATCTCCCAAAAAGAAGGGTTACCCCAAGGTTACCCTTTTCCTCGAAACGGGTGGTGCAAAACGCAAAACGGACTATCAGACTTGACAGAAAAAACAACGACAAAACGGTCTTCACAGTTTCGCCATCAAACCTCCTGATTCCTTGGCACATTCCGGTATCCAAAATAGAGGTACTGTGTGAAGCTGTAGTCGTCTTGGCGCGGCTACATGATCCGATCAATTCCAGGTCTGCAGAGCTACAACGGCCCCTGCAGGGCACCAAGATCGGGCAGGCATTGCTTGGTTGATATTTGATACGGTCAATTTTGCAAACACGAGCTGTCCAACGCGCCACATCAAAGGTCTTGCCCAAACTTGCTGGTGGTGGGTTCAGATATGTGCATTTTCCATGGACATTGGATGGTGGTGATGATGATGATAATGAAGAAGATCCATCCAACCGGTCTCTGAGGCTTCAGCAGATCCAGGCATTGGCCGGGAGACCATGCCCGTTTGGCAGGGGGATGATCTGGTCATCTCATCCGATATATGATATACATGTATTATATAAATTGTATTAATATATATATAGGACATACATAGTTACATAGTATGATGTATGTACATAGGTTTGGTTTAAATGTTTATGTGTCAACATTTAGTCTTATTACATATATGAATGTACTAATACATATATATATATATACACATGTGCATATGTATATGTATATTTTCAATGATCCGACATTGTATGCACAGATGCACGCAATTGCACAGTAGTATTGACATAGGTAAATGTATCATATATACATGCATACAAACACACCAATACACACACACATACACACATACACACATAATTACACATATGCCTCCTACATACCTACATACATACATCCATACATGCATCAATCCGCACATGCATCCATCCACACATGCCTCCATGCCTCCATGCCTCAATGTATCCATCCATCCATGCATCCATCCATGCATCCATGCATGCATGCATTCATCCATCCATCCAGCCATATGAACACACATACCACCCTGGTCTATCTACTGTATCTTTCTTCCTTTCTTATCCTGGAAAGCAAACTGCACCATACAAGTGTCCTGTGAGTCAGGGGCCTCTTGCATCTTGGGCCTCCTTCTCACTCGCTGCAGCATTTGAGCTTTTTAAATTGCGCAAAGCCCACGGCATGGAGCTCTTATCTGATGAGGAACAAGTATGGGCCAAAGATGTCCTAACCGGTCTGGGTTACGAGGTTGAAGTAGAACTTTTGTCCCAGTTCAGCCAGAGAGGGGAGGCTGCTTTGTCGGACTCCTCGTCAGAGCCCTTGTCACTGGTCGATGATTGGGAGATTGTTTGCAAGTTTGTAAAACATGATGTTTCTGTCCAAAATTGATCAACTTTTGGGTCATTTTGCGGATGTTTTCCCACAGGATTCTTTCGCTTGAAAAACCAGGTTGGCTGTGCAGAGGGATTTGAAGGAGCTTGGTGTCAGGGACTTCATGGAAGGCATACCCAAGGGCACTCCGATGCGTCATAGGGCTTCCTTCAAACGCTTTCTCAAGGCATTGAATGGATTGGACCGAGGAGGTGGGACCCTGCGCCAATTTTTCCCTGGGGTCCTTGCTTTTCTGCTGCCTGCTTCGTCTTCACCTCTCTATCACAAACTTTTCTCTATCAAACGTAATTCTATCAGAGCTGCACCTATTTCTGACAATTACCTCTCTATAAAGTTTACCTCTATGAAGCTTACCTCTATCAAACTCACCCGTATCACACTTACGTCTATCAAACTGATCTCTGACACTTTAAGTCTTCTGTCAAACTCACCTCGACCGAACTTATCAAACTTCTTTGTGTCAATCTTGACACCAAACCCATTTCAATGATTTTCAATGAGACTCTGCTCTATCAAACTTATCTCCGTCATACTCGCCTGATCGCAAATTTATTTCCATCAAACTTACTTCTGTCAAACTTTTCTGTATCATACATTTCCCCATCAAGACTTGTCTCTATCAAACCTATCCGTGTCAAGCACACCTCGATTAAACTTGCCATTATCACGCTTCTCCATGCAACTTGTCCTTTCAAACTGGCCTCTATCAATTTTATTTTTATCAAACTTATCTCCATCCAACTTTAGTCTTTCAAACTTCTCCATCCATCTCCTCTCTATCAAACTCACTGTAATCCAAGTTCTTCTCACCACCCCACTTGTTGGCAGTCTCTTTTCTGTCATGTATCTCTGTTTTGTGCTCTATGTCTTTTCATTTTAATCTGACCCAACCCATATTTGTACCCAACTCTTTTTGTCCAATCTCTCTAGCGGACTTCCGCTGCCCAAACAAGTTTATGCTTTGTGGGATTATTTACTGAGATTATTCGAATTTGCATGTATATATGTATACGGTATCTGTATACGTTAAAATAAATGTAGTGATATATCTACATATATTACGAAAGCCAGCCAGGAGGCTGGCTAGTTGTTATTTGCGAACGAAGTGAGAATAGGGGTCTGGGGGGGGGGTAGTTGACAAAAGGGAGCCAAATCATCGTAAATAGGTGAAAAAAAATGGGTGCAAAAATTCAGGATAATGTACCATGCGGCAAAACAGTGACGGTGGGGTATCGATTCCCCCTAGGTCCGGTTTTTTGGGGTCAGTCAAGTGGACAAATAGATGGGAGAGAAAATGGATCTCTAGGTCTTGGTTGGTTTTATGGGGTCATAGCGCGTTGCTATAAGTTGCTATCTGAAAAAGGGCACGTGTAGATAGCAACTTTGGTACGTGACTAAAACCCCAAATTGCCCAACATTGGCCCAGCATTGGCCCAACTTTGGTCATTTGGTGGGCTTTATGGGGTTCCATGGAGGTCTCTGGGTGAAGAGTTTCTGGGTGAAGAGTCTCGGGGTGAAAAGTATATGGGTGAAAAGTATGTGCAAGAAGAGTTTCTGGGTGAAGAGTCTCTGGGTGAAAAGTATATGGGTGAAAAGTATGTGCAAGAAGGTTTCTGGGTGAAGAGTCTCTGGGTGAAAAGTATATGGGTGAAAAGTATGTGCAAGAAGAGTTTCTGGGTGAAGAGTGAAGAGTCTCTGGGTGAAAAGTATGTGCAAGAAGAGTTTCTGGGTGAAGAGTCTCTGGGTGAAAAGTATATGGGTGAAAAGTATGTGCAAGAAGAGTTTCTGGGTGAAGAGTCTGGGTGAAAAGTATGTGGGTGAAAAGTATGTGCAAGAAGAGTTTCTGGGTGAAGAGTCTCTGGGTGAAAAGTATATGGGTGAAAAGTATGTGCAAGAAGAGTTTCTGGGTGAAGAGTCTCTGGGTGAAAAGTATGTGCAAGAAGAGTTTCTGGGTGAAGAGTCTCTGGGTGAAAAGTATATGGGTGAAAAGTATGTGCAAGAAGAGTTTCTGGGTGAAGAGTCTCTGGGTGAAAAGTATATGGGTGAAAAGTATGTGCAAGAAGAGTTTCTGGGTGAAGAGTCTCTGGGTGAAAAGTATGTGCAAGAAGAGTTTCTGGGTGAAGAGTCTCTGGGTGAAAAGTAGATGAAGATAGTATATGGGTGAAAAGTATGTGCAAGAAGAGTTTCTGGGTGAAGAGTCTCTGGGTGAAAAGTATATGGGTGAAAAGTATGTGCAAGAAGAGTTTCTGGGTGAAGAGTCTCTGGGTGAAAAGTATATGGGTGAAAAGTATGTGCAAGAAGAGTTTCTGGGTGAAGAGTCTCTGGGTGAAAAGTATGTGCAAGAAGAGTTTCTGGGTGAAGAGTTCTGGGTGAAAAGATGGGTGAAAAGTATGTGCAAGAAGAGTTTCTGGGTGAAGAGTCTCTGGGTGAAAAGTATATGGGTGAAAAGTATGTGCAAGAAGAGTTTCTGGGTGAAGAGTCTCTGGGTGAAAAGTATATGGGTGAAAAGTATGTGCAAGAAGAGTTTCTGGGTGAAGAGGTGAAACGTATATGGGTAAAAAGTATGTGCAAGAAGCGTTTCTGGGTGAAGAGTTTCTGGGTGAAGAGTTTCTGGGTGAAGAGTTTCTGGGTGAAGAGTCTCTGGGTGAAAAGTATGTACAAGAAGAGTTCCTGGGTGAAGAGTCTCTGGGTGAAAAGTATATGGGTGAAAAGTATGTGCAAGTAAAGTTTCTGGGTGAAGAGTCTCTGGGTGAAAAGTATATGGGTGAAAAGTATGTGCAAGAAGAGTTTCTGGGTGAAGAGTCTCTGTGAAAAGTATATGGGTGAAAAGTATGTGCAAGAAGAGTTTCTGGGTGAAGAGTCTCTGGGTGAAAAGTATATGGGTGAAAAGTATGTGCAAGAAGAGTTTCTGGGTGAAGAGTCTCTGGGTGAAAAGCCTGTGCAAGAAGAGTTTCTGGGTGAAGAGTCTCTGGGTGAAAAGTATATGGGTGAAAAAGTATGTGCAAGAAGAGTTTCTGGGTGAAGAGTCTCTGGTGAAAAGTATATATGAAAAGTATGTGCAAGAAGAAAGAATCTCATGTGCAAGAAGAGTTTCTGGGTGAAGAGTCTCTGGGTGAAAAGTATATGGGTGAAAAGTATGTGCAAGAAGAGTTTCTGGGTGAAGAGTCTCTGGGTGAAAAGTATATGGGTGAAAAGTATGTGCAAGAAGAGTTTCTGGATGAAGAGTCTCTGGGTGAAAAGATATGGGTGGGTGAAAGAGTTTCTGGATTCTCTGGGTGAAAAGTATATGGGTGAAAAGTATGTGCAAGAAGAGTTTCTGGGTGAAGAGTTTCTGGGTGAAGAGTCTCTGGGTGAAAAGTATGTGCAAGTAAAGTTTCTGGGTGAAGAGTCTCTGGGTGAAAAGTGTATGGGTGAAAAGTATGTGCAAGAAGAGTTTCTGGGTGAAGAGGTGAAAAGTATATGGGTAAAAAGTATGTGCAAGAAGCGTTTCTGGGTGAAGAGTTTCTGGGTGACCAGTTTCTGGGTGAAGAGTCTCTGGGTAAAAAGTATATGGGTGAAAAGTATGTGCAAGAAGAGTTTCTGGGTGAAGAGTCTCTGGGTAAAAAGTATATGGGTGAAAAGTATGTGCAAGAAGAGTTTTTGGGTGAAGAGTCTTTGGGTGAAAAGTATATGGGTGAAAAGAATATGGATGAACATGGTGCATTTGTCGGTACAATGATTGCCTTAAATTTGGCAATATGTGGGGGGATCCTTTTGTTCAAGTCAAATTACCTTCTTTAATGTCAAATGTAGTCAAAACCTGGTCAATTTGGGAAACCCATTTCTTTCCTCAATCCTGATCCAAACTTACCCAAAACCCCAAAAAATGTCCAATCTGCTGCGTTTCACTCATGTTTTCGATATGGGAGCATCGTTATTTCTATGGTATTCGCTTTGGCACTGTTTATGCACTCCAAAATTCTACCCCAAATATTTCTACCCCAAATATTCTAAGTTTTTTTTTCTGTCCACACCCGAAGGGTTGAAATCGGGCATATTCTATGTAGTCGATCATGATTATATATGTACTGTATATGTATATGTAGATGTAGATGTAGATGTAGATATATGTATATGTATATGTATATGTATGTGTATAGGTATAGGTACAGTGTTTTACTTCAACCAGAACAAAGGGGACTTCTTCACCAAGAATGAGGGTACAAGTCAGAAGGCGCTGAGCCAATGGGTTCATGATGAGCCAGTAGTTTTCCGTAATCAACTTGGGAAGGTATTGGCACCGATGAAGCAGGGTTGGCTTCCACACTTCCCTCCCTGGCTGTTTCTTTGCATTCACCTCCGATTTGGGCCATTGGGGTCTGGGGGTCCCTGGGGTCCGGTTTGGTGATCATTTTGATGCGCCAGATTCAGAAGATGAAGGGGAAGAAGCAAAGGAAACCACGGAAGCCAAGGAAGCAGAGAAACCGAAGCTACTCGTGGACCCAGATGTGGTGGAAGTGCCAGACCTGTCTCAGGAGGCACGGTTCAACCTGACTGTGCACAATATCAGCTCCTCGTCCTCGCACGACAGTCACACGTTGAAGGTCCGTGTCATCCACAATTGCAGGCACGGGTCGACAAGTGCGTGGAGTCAGGGCCTGTATCAAATGTACACTGCAATCCTAGTTTTGGAGTGCTTGTCAAAGCAGGTGCCTTTTGAGAGCTTTCATCTTTGGCAGAAATAACATTTTCCAAGCCTTGGCCTGTTGGAGATTCACTACCGTTTTCACCAAACACCAGCGCTTGAAAAAAAAATCTTATTTTAGACTGTGGTGCGAGCTGCACATGACTGCAACGTTGTTTGACACTTTCTGAATGGAGGTTTGTGGAATACACCTTGATGACCTCGAAGCACGCGAAGCTGTACCTTGAGGAGGGATCCTACTTGAGCATCGTCTCTGAAAACGATGCGGGTGGTCCTCAGTTGCATCGAGGAATGTCCACCGGGGGCCTCAAAAAAGGTGGACTTGTGTATGTGACTGGGATGATGAGAGGATGCAGGGTGGATTTGGGTGTGCCTTATGGGTGCAGGTATGAGAAACCATGTAAATTTGATGAAATTTGGGTTATACCATGAGTCAAGTTTCAGACAAACTCATACTAGGCACTTTTTGAAGCAACCTGGGGTACTCAGGAGGTTTTGACCATGGGTGTCTGAAACTCCTTTGCTTTCAGGGCTTGGAGACGTAGGACAATGGTGTGGCGCGGTTGGTAATCAACCTTATATTCACGGTTTTTTCATGTCTTTTCTCGGTGAATCTGTTCTGCTTCGCTTCGCCAATTGCCCCTTCTGTTCTTTTCACGGCGTTTCCCAATAGGACGATGATTCCAATGAAGCCAATGACCAAAAAAACCACCAAAAACGCTTCCCTTGCTGAGGCCAGCATGAGAACTCAGAGACACTTTAATCTGGGCTATGGAGACCCTCTTCCGGCTCTGATGAAGGGAGCGAGCGCCTACCATCTGGTTTTTTTTGAGTCTGATGCTGTTAGACTTTGGCATACTCAGTATGGTGAGGACAAGTCTGCTTCGAATCTGACTGAAACTTGGACTTTGGCGAAAATGTGACACATGTTCCAAAGTGGTGAACAGACCAAAAAATAGGTGATCTAGTTGGGAAAACATGCTTTATTTTTTGGGTCATCTTTGGCGCAAATCTGAGGAAATGGAAGTAAATAGTTCCTGCGTGGTGGTTCCACGTGAGAAATCCATTGTGCATCTGCAGTCTTGGAAGGCCCAGGGCGCGAACAAACAGATGCCTCGAGAATCCATCAACGAAGAGCTTGCGGCGGCACATTTCAGCAACAGACATGTGTATCTGGTCTGTGGTTCGCAATGGCTGGACGCGATCAATTTTAAAGATGTTTGAAAAGGATATTCCCAACAGCAGTGACCGTTGGGTTTCAATCTCTGGGTCTGGGAGTGGTGCGCCGTTTGTTGGCGGCCTTTGAAACTGTAAACGGAACCCTGGACCATATCGCAAATGTATTGGAAACATGTGTTGAAACAACTCTCTTATCGTCCAACTAAGATAGCTATGGAAATCCATGGCTTTCCCTAGGAAATCATGGACACATGATGGATTTTCCTTACACTTTTTGTATGTTACTAGAAAGTAGCGATTTTGAGTCTTGTGCTGACCAACAGCTGCCTTCGGCTCGTGCAATGCTTGCCAAATCGCAGTGTGATGCGCAGAGGCCGCGAGGATTTGTAGTTTTGGCGCACGTGTACGAGTAAAATTCCTTTTGAAAATACATGTCTTCATATTGGGGGGTTTGAGTTTATTAGTTGGGTTTTGGCAACGCAACCTGCCTGCCCCAAAGCAAATTCTCGGCCAAGAGCAATCATAAACGTGTTGTGTTTTGTAAGGCTGCGGTCAGAAACCACAACAGCAGGGCAGCAAGACATGCCCCACCTGAAGGTGGCTACGGATCCACGAAGTCATTCTGACAGCCCCATGCCTGTCACAAAACATGATGGTGGTTTCAACACTGGCGGTTTAGTAGTTGTGGTTGACTAGTTGTGGTGGAATGGTGGTTACATGGTGAGTGGTGGTTGCACAAGTAGGCAATAAATAAACAGTCGTGATGCCATAGTGATGGTTCAGTGACAAGTCAATGTGTTATTTTATTTCTCTTCTACGCTCCTCTGTGGCTGATTTGGGAAGATCCCATTCACATCCATATTTTTGAAGATGGTGGCTTCTTCGCACCAGGTATCTCCAAAAGATGAACAAGATCGATCACTGGACAGGAAGCCAACTAAGTGACCATGACGACTGGGATGCAGAGGCTGATCTCAAAAAGGTCGAGCCTCAGGATTTTGTGATTTCCCATGAACGCTTTCATATCGTTCTGCACAACCTCTCGCCGGAGAATGCGAAGTTCCAGTTGAATGTGAAGGTGAACCATGCCCTATCCCAGTGCAGTATATAGTTTAGACTGTTTCCATGGCATCAGTATTGATTTTAGGCTTGCAATTTGTGTGAACTAGGTTTCATGAAACATACTTGATAGAGATTATACAAAGTAGTCAATTCAGCATATTTTAAAAGGAGTGATTTTTTGTTTTCTGTATGACTGTCATCCAAGACAGGCATGCCCAACCCGAAGCTGCACAAATGACTTCAGGTGACATACGAGCAGGGCCAGGCGGAGTACACGTTGGACAGTCATAGTTGTGCAACCCTTCATTTGCCACAGGATTCACTCCTCGAGGTGGGAACCCATGGGAACCCGCGATTTCGACACACACAGAGACAAAGATAATGACGCGTATATGTGTATATATGTATGCACCAGGCCCTGCCACCCCCCCCTCTCCCCCATGGGATGGGTCCCATATACTGGCCCCATATGAAATCTTCCCCCTCCCCCCCCTGTGGTGTGGTGGCGGTGTGGTACTGTTTGATATGACAGTATGTATGGTCTGTATGGTATGTATGGTTGCTATGATGGGTATGGAATATTTCCTATGTAAGGTAGGTATGGTATGTATGGCATGTATGTTTGCTATTGTATGTATGGTAGGTGTGGTAATTACATTTCATATGTATGGTATGTATGGGTATGGTATGTATGATATGATATATGATAGGTATGGTATGCATGGCATCATTGACATGTATGGTAGGTACGGTATATGTTAAACACAGGTGGTGTTGTCAGAGTACACAGGTAGTAAATAGGAAGTAGATACAGTAGATACATAGCACATGTATATATGACTATAGGTAGCACGTAGGTACTTTGAAGGAGTATGTGTGCTACGTAGGTCGCCTAAAAGGTAGCATGTACCTAGTAAATGCGCGGCTGGTAGTCAGAAATGCTGCAAAGACCTAGCAAATACGAAGCTGGACCTCAGAAATGCTGCCAATAGCTTGCAAATAGAAGGGAAAGGGGGGTGCTACTTGGGGACCCAACCCATGGGGGGGAGGGGGGGGTGGAGAGACGGAGGACGGGACCATGTATAAATGTATATATATATATTATATACATGCATACATGCATACATGCATACATGCATACATGCATACATGCGTGCATGCATGCATGCATGCATGCATATATGCATGCATACATGCATACACATACATACATGCATACAGCCAGACAGCCAGACAGCCAGGCAGACAGACAGACAAACAGACATGCATACAGCCAGACAGCCAGACAGCGAGGCAGACAGACAGACAGACAGACAGACAGACAGACAGACAGACAGACAGACAGACAGACAGACAGACATGCAGACATGCAGACATGCATACATGCATACATGCATACATGCATACATGCAGCCAGACAGACAGACAGGCAGACAGGCAGACAGGCAGACAGGCAGACAGGCAGACAGGCAGACAGGCAGACAGGCAGACAGACATACAGACATACAGACATGCAGACATACAGACATACAGACATACAGACATACAGACATACAGACATATAGACATACAGACATACAGACATACAGACATACAGACATACATACAAACATACATACAGACATACAGACATACATACAAACATACATACATACAAACAAACATACATACATACATACATACATACATACATTCAAACATACATACATACATACATACATACATACTTTCATACGTCCATCCATCCATAGATACATTCTCGGTTCCTGGTCCTGTGGCCCCAATGGTATGGTACCCTCCTTATGGCCTAGGACCTGGAACAGAAACATATTGCTTAGCGACAGTTCTGGTTTACCCAGGCTACGTTCACGAGGGGCCCTTTGGATGGGTCATGTGGACGTAACAGGTGCTTCAGGCATGGGTAAGAAAATCATGTTTGGCTCAAGGGATGATTTGGCCGAGAAAGTGACAAACCGCTGATCGATTTCTGGTTGGTTTAATGTATTTCTCGTGGTGTTTTCAACATGGTGCCACGGTCCCACTGGAAGGGACTATTCTAAGCGAAGCTTACACATTAAAAACACGTTGCTGCATACGTTTTTAAATCTATAGTCTCGCAGCTGGGGGGGGACGTATATACTTATCGCTGTTGGTTTATACTGTCCAGATCTGTGTGATTTCTATTTCTATTTCTACAATATATATATTTATATATACAGATATATATATATAGATATATCTTAGTGTCTCATCTTCACTCTCGGTTGTTTGGGTTGCTGTTTTGCGCGCCTGATGCATTCCAACATACCAATTTGAGATACAGTTCTTGTCAAGTGTGTGTAACAGTTGAAGAGATGCAAGACCAAGACACAATGAATATGGAGGGGGATCACCCATGTACTGTATTCGATGTTCCAGCAAAGCGGGCCAAAGTACATGCGGATGTCATGGATGGTCCCCGTGACTCTGAATCGACTCTGACGTTTGGTCGATTCAGGATATTTTTGAGACAGTATTTTTGGAGCGCGTAAACCACTCCAGGGCTCTTGAGTATATCCACTATATCCACTTACGTGTTTTGAATGAGAGGCGCTCATGTCCCAACGTGCCACCTCATTGACGTGTCCATGCTTCAACTGGGTGTGTCATGGGAATCAACGGCGTCAAAGGGCAGCATGTTTAGGTCAACTGACATGATTTTAGGGATCCGGCAGAAAACATTCTAAAACAATTGCGTTTTGCTTAACAAAGCAAACACAGTCTCATGATTTGTGTGCTCAGGTGGAGTCAGAGTCTCTGGAGGAATGGCAAGCCAAAAAGTCTATGAATGTGGAGTTACAGTCTTTGAAGCCAGGTGCCAATGTGTACGTGCTGAGCGAGCCTGACCATGAAACCGCTACCCCATGTGAAAATCAGCTACTTTGTTTTGCTATTGTCCTTATGGCTACCGGCGTGGGTCTGCCCTTGGGCATCATTTTGTTTTGCATCCTTAGCACAAAGTTCAAGGAACGGCACAAAAAGTTTCCTTTACTCAACTTAAGCCACCAGAATGGCCTTCCTTCAAAAGGGCGAAGCTCAGCATCCTCCACGCTTTGGCATTTCCTCGGTCAAGGTGGGGCGGATTTGGGGGAAAATTGGGGCATATTTTTGGCAGGATACCACAAACCGGTATTGTTTAGCAACCCCCGCATGGGTTTTATCGGATTTTCAATCACGGGTTTCGTTCAATTGGCGGGCCAAGAACAATGTTGGTGGTTGAGAAACGAACTTCCCCCACAAAATAACACGAAAGAATAAGAATGCCATAATTAAGGGTACCCTCTGGTAATTTAACGTAGCTATTGAAAATGACCATTAATAGTGGATTTTCCCATAAAAAATGGTGATTTTCCCATCTGTTATGTGACAGTTTACCAGAGGGTAATTCTGCTCCATTGTTGGACATTGAATTCATGGTACCCATAAGGGTCAGCCTGTCAGCCTTACCCACTTTGCAGGTCCGGAGACCATGTTTGCACGATGCATACTCGGACTCTTGGTTTGCGCACCGAAGTTTTACCATATTTGCGTGACTGGTTTTCCATGGTTTTCCCAATTTTCTCTAAGTCAATTAATTATGATGTATATTTTTATCTGTGCAAGTGGAATGATGGTCCTCAACAACTAGAGGGCTACCCCAAAAGAGATTGAAGAAGTCGAAATCCGAAAATTATGGAGGGGACATCATCTTCAACATCTACATCTTTTGAAGATTTCTCCAACTATATAGGGGACCACTATTCTTCTTTTCTTTGGCTCGTTTTTTCCACAACAAACCCAGTGACACCAGGAGATGCCGACATCTCTGGGATTGCCTTGGCTCCTGGTGAGAGCTGCGCTATGGATGCCAGGACCGGAGCTGCGTTTCAGATTGCCATCCGGGAACAGCTCCTGGGCAGCGAAAAAAGATTTTTGGTTGTTTGACTATTTAGGAATCCCCTCATTTTAGATGTTTTGGAGAATTCAATGGGAATTTGTGCGCCAGAGTAGTTGTAGTTGTAAGAAGAGGTGGACATTGACGGGTTTGTATTCGTTTCGGGCTGTAGAAGATGTCTAATCAAGACCACAAAGCGTGGATCTTGTATGACAATGATCAATTCATCCAGTGTGATATTCCAAAAGGGAGGTTAAATTTTCATTTATTTTTCGCTTTTCAAAAGACCTCAAAAAGATAATTGTGTTGAAGCTATATATATATATATCACTGTTTGGTGTTATATATAATTTTCCCATTGCTGTTGACCATGTTTTGTGGTTTAAAATATGGTTTTTCAAGAGGTCATACCCTCTGGTAAACTAACATAACTATAGAAAATCACCATTTTTAATGGGAAAACTCACTATTTCTATGGCCATTTTCAATAGCTATTTTGACATAACCAGAGGGTATATCTTTCCCAGAAAAGGATCCCATGAATCCCATGTGCGAGGGCCCAAGCAGCTCGTGGCTATGGAGATCTCGGCAGCGAGCTGAGAGAAATGATCCGTGAATGTGATGGACGTGATGGCCTCAGCCAGCGCCATGTCTATGTCTGGAAGACCAAAACCAGGAAGACCGAAGGGAGGACCAAAAGGACCAAAATTGAAATGAAGATTGCGCCAGGAAGTCTTGTTGGAAAGCATCCCCAGACATGGGACGCCTTCAAGGACTTGGAACGCTCTGCGCATGTGGATGTGGAGGACAACACGCCATCCAATATGCCGTCCAACATGCCCTCCAACATGCCATCCAATGCGCCCAGCAATCGGCCTGATTCCGGAAATCGGCCTGATCCCCCAGGGGTGGTAGCAGAAGAGCCTTGATTTTCTGGCAGATGATGGCCTGAAGTTCGAAGAACTTTTTTTTTGGTTTCACCAGTTTTCGGCATTTCTTGGCAGCTGAGTGAAGGTCTGATATGGTACCCCAAAATTGGGATGCCCTGTCAAAGGTATTTTGCTTTCAAAGAGACGGCTTCACAGCCCAAACTCGCCCGTTGGTGGTTTCAAATACGTGGTTCTCCATCCCCACGGGGTGATGGCAGTGATGATGATGATGATGATGATGATGATGATGATGATGATGATGATGATGATTTCCGTTGTCAACGCACGATTGTTGGGGCTTGGAACCACCAATCGCAGCCAGGCAACACCGCTGATCCATCCTTTGTCGAGGCAGAGATCCAGGCGTCCGGCAAGAGACCATCTGATTTGGCAGTAGGATGCATAGGTCATGCCATGCACTATTCATATATACATAGTACATTTAATTACTGTATAGTATATATATAATATATATATATATATATATATTCATGTGTTAGTATGATTGCATGCTAGTTTGTTTACTGCAGGGTAGATGGTATGTTTGCACATGTCTATGTTGGTTTGCATGCATGTTGATGTTTATATGTACATATGTCTCAAGATACAATACAGGTCTTTCATGGTATTCCTATATATACATACATTACATTACATTACATTACGTTACGTTACGTTACGTTACATTACATTACATTTCATTCATACATACATACATACATACATTAGTTACATTACATTACATTACATTACATTACATTACATTACATTACATTACATTAATACATACATACATACATACATACATACATACATACATACATACATACATACATACATACATACATACATACATACATACATACATACATACATACATACATACATACATACATACATACATACATACATACATACACACACACATACATACATACATACATACATACATTAATTACATTACATTACATTACATTACATTACATTACATTACATTACATACATACACACACACATTTGTACAAACAGATTGTGTATACAGGCACATGGAACATATTGCAAGAACCGTGTAATTGCCCAAAACATCCCCTCACCAAATAGTATCAGTTTGGTTGGCCTGCTGAGGACCGAGGATGATGCGTGAGGATGAAGAAAATTTGCAGCCAACTTATCTTTTTGGGGCTGTCACTTGCCACACCCTCCGAAAAGAAAACAACAACAACTAGTCGTTTAAAGATTGTCCAGTTTAGGTTTCCTCCTATGATGTGCAGTCCTGCGCGTTGAACTCACCTGACAGCGAAAGTCAAAAAAGGCAGGCTGCGTTTGCCATGAAAGACATGTGCACGGATAGCCAGACGAAAACCTGAGTTCCAAGTGGAATTTTCATCAGTTTCCTTTTTTGCATGTTTTTTTTTCAATTGGGCATGTGTGAAAATGGCGTAAACCCCCAATTATAACTATTTAGTATCATTTAGTATCATTTGGTATCATTTAGTATCACTTAGTATCGTTTAAATATGGTATCATTTATCAGTGATAGTATCATTTGGTATCATTTAATCATCACTTAGTATCATCATCACTTTAGTATCATTTATCATTTGGTATCATTTAGTATCACTTAGTATCATTGGTTCCTTATCATTTATCTGGGAGAATCACTGGGAGAATCATTTATCATTGAATAAGGAACATGATTGATAATGGGATTAATATAGATATACATATTAATGGGATTAATAATGGGATTAATATTTTAATGGGATAATAGATTATTCAACAATGGGATTATATTAATTGGATTCTCCCAGTTGGGCGCACGATGGCGCACGATTTTCAGCCCCTACCGCATCGCTGCCAACGACGGTTCGTAGCTGGGTGACCGTTGCGGTGACCGTTGAGGCGCCGATCGAAGGATCTGTGGTGACATGCCAAAAACATGGTGATCATGGTGATATATATATATGTATATGATTAGATATAGATATAGATATAGATATAGATATGATGCATGTTTTATCAATGTTTTTGTAATGTTTTGGATCACATTGCATAGGATTAGATTATCTGGGGATTTTCCTATGCAATGGTAATGGTGATAAAGATCGGATTGGATTGGTTTAGGAGAAACCGAAGCCGGAAACCATCGATTTTCCCATGAAGATCATAGGGCTTTCCTGTGAAATTTTCCTTAAACCAATCCATTGATATATCCCAAAATAGAACAACTTTAATGCGGAAAGCGATGATCTGAGGATTTTGGGGGTACCCAGAAGTTTTGGATCAGCAAGGTGCTGAACATAACCCCTCAATTTTAGGAAAGTGGTAATGAAAAGAAAACATGACCAATTCGAGCTCGTTATTGGGTTTACTGAACATCTATGCATATATATATATATAGTAAATAGATAAATAAACACATGTATCTATATATGTATAGTAAGGATCCAGCAGATAGAATATAAACCATAATTCACCCCCCAAAAAAAAATACTACATAAGCAGGTTTGCAGGCAGGAATTTCAACAGATAGAATACCGGCAGGTACGGACTAGATCCGTGTATATATATAGGGTTTTGTAACATGTTTGTCTTAAAAAACTTTAAAAAAAATTAATTATTTTTTTTTTATTTTTTTATTTTTCTATAATAGATATAATTTAGATATTAAAAAATATTCTATCTGTTTGATTTGCATATATATATACGATTTGGTGAGAATTGATGCAGAACACAACTAAAGATATATCTTTTGTTATCTTTTTGTTTAACAAATATTCACACATGTATGCAGGTTTGAACATTTGTTTGTATGCAAGCATTGCTGGTAAGCATTTCCAGTGTATAATATGCAAGTAATATTCAATTAATTTTTGGATCAAACAGCAAGAATGACCGTACATCAACTGTCCCATGAACCCATGACAGCAAGTGTATTCACTGTATGATTAAAGACAATTGTAAACCATATTCTATATAGAGAATTGATGCAGAACAAAACTAAAGATATATCTTTTATCTTTTTGTTTAACAAATATTCACACATGCATGCTTCTGACATGATCATGTTTCCTTTATATGACGATACTGGAATATTCTATCTGTTTGGTTTGCCTATATATATATATATGTTTTGATGAGATAGATGCAAACAAAAACTGTACAATTAGAAACCACGAACATGTGAATATGTACAAAATCGACATTACATATTATTCTCACATTATATTCACTGTATGCCAGCATTGCTGGCATGCAGGTTTGAACATTTGTTTGTATGCCAGCATTGCTGGTAAGCATTTCCAGTGTATAATATGCAAGTAAAATTTAATTAATTTTTGGATCAAACAGCAAGAATGACCGTACATCAACTGTCCCATGAACCCATGACAGCAAGTGTATTCACTGTATGATTAAAGACAATTGCAAACCATATTCTATATAGAGAATTGATGCAGAACACAACGAAAGATATATCTTTTATCTTTTTGTTTAACAAATATTCACACATGCATGCTTCTGACATGATCATGTTTCCTTTATATGACGATACTGGAATATTCTATCTGTTTGGTTTGCCTATATATATATGTTTTGATGAGATAGATGCAAACAAAAACTGTACAATTAGAAACCACGAACATGTGAATATGTACAAAATCGACATTACATATTATTCTCACATTATATTCACTGTATGCCAGCATTGTTGGCATGCAGGTTTGAACATTTGTTTGTATGCCAGCATTGCTGGTAAGCATTTCCAGTGTCTAATATGCAAGTCATATTCAATTAATTTTTGGATCAAACAGCAAGAATGACCGTACATCAACTGTCCCATGAACCCATGACAGCAAGTGTATTCACTGTATGATTAAAGACAATTGTATTAATGATTTCTGGTCGTATTTTATGTTTATATCGAAACATGAATAACACATGCACCAACATGTTTTGGTTGCCTCATAGGCATTACAAAACAATATTTCAGGTTAGCGATCAGGGTTCAACTTCCAACGTGTTCCAGCTACTAGCAATGGCAGATCTGAAAGAGTATTCGAAACATTGTTGTGCCTCCCTGGAGGGTATCAAAAGGCAATTAAAAAAGGGTCCAAAATCAACAGATAGAATATTCCAGTGGATCATCTCCCACACAAACTAATCTTATGTTACAGTATGAGTGTGTTTGATGGTGTGCCAGCTCTGCTGGCTACCATCACTGATTGGAGTCTCGTTGTTGTGTTTCATGTGATGCTCAACTCAATTTGAATAGTTTCTTAACTTTATATTAATTCCATATATATATATAACATATTATATATACATATATATGTATATATATATATTTCAAAAATTGACTAAATTCATTGGGTTTTTCTACTAAAAACGATATATCTACGTATAATATATTGATATTTTTGATTAGTTTCTTAGAATATTATTTTTATATATGTATATTTCAAGTTTGAAGAGTTTCTTTAATTTTCTTTCAAAAAAATGTTTATATATAATGATATGTTTGCTTAGTTTTCTCAATATATATATATATTAAGTTTGAAGAGTTTTCTCGAGTTTTATCATATAAAAACAATGTATTTGCATAGGATATGTTCATAATTTTGATGATTTTCTTAAATTTATACATTCCGTATTCTATCTCTTGATTCCCACCTGCAAAGCGAAATCCGTATTCTATCTCTTGACCATATCTTTTTTAATATTCTATCTGCTGGATCCTTACTATATATATATATATATGTATATGAAACCTGGCTGGTTTACTTGTCGGTTTGCGTCATGCTGGGTGAGGGGCTGCACCATCATTGAAATATTTTTTCTGGTCAAACTTGTTGTGTCCGGTTCCAATATGCTTTGCCACCGCAACTCCTTGGTGGAATTTGATCCGGATTAATCCTGTGTTTTTCAGATGGGTTGGGCGTCAAGCGTTTGATCAGCGAACGATGTGGATTGATGTCAGACAGGTTTCTGACGACAGGAAACTGAACGTTGGAGAATGGCTTGGTGACGAAACCATGGAAATAAACAGCGCAAGGGTATAAACATCCGTTTTGCTTGGAACTGCCCACGTAACCTTTTTTGCCTGTTTTTTTTTCTGCATGTGACTTGAGCAAGATGCACTTCTGGTTATAGATACCTATTTTTTTGGTTGGTTCTGTATTCCAATGTACACCCTGAACTTCTCAGATCTCGTTTAACTGGCACCTTTGCAAAGTGCTCGTTTCCCAAGGCCTTTTCACAAAGTACTTCCGAAACTGGTTGATTGATCATGCCTCCATGCCCTGTGCATCATTAGATGGCTCACGTGCGAAAGGCTCAAAATGCTCACTATTGATCACCTGATCACCTGGAAAATATTATTAAAATTGATCACCAAAATGAAAGCATGCATCCATGATCACTCTTTTTTGGGGAGCATCAGCGATTGATTTCACTCTTTAATGAGAATCTGATGGTGTCAACAAAAAACGTGATAAGTGCGTTAAAAACCCGTGATTTTGGCATGAAAGTGAGTGAAAAAAACATGGTTTTATGGTCACTTCCAAGCGCGTGAAAATTCAAAGATTTCCTCATGCAACTGGCAGCCAGTCCACTCATAGTTGTCTAGTGCCGCACCCCTTTACGGTAATAGAAAATGTAGTTGAAGAGTCCCTCGCATAAAGTCCTCTGCTGAAGCGGAACATGAGAGTGAGGTGGTTTGGTTTAAAGTCAAGATGGCACTTTACAGTAACGCAGGCACTTTGTTCGAAAGTACTCGTGTCCCAAGCACTTTGGGAGGTCAGGGTATAATTTAATTTCACCGCCAAAAACGCAATGGCTCCATCGGTGTTTTTATAGGTGGATATATGTGAATTTAGTTTTCAATTTTGACATTTGCATGTTATCTATGTGTATATGACATGTACGTTTCCTTTTGGAACCCAACATGAAAAAAACCCAACATGTCAGGTGAGGGTAGTTAGATTTTATGTCAGCTGGCCTCCTTCTCCTTCTCCTTCTCCTTCCCCTCCCTGGGCCTCAACTGCAAGCTCGTGATCGCAGTGGTCCCCGCCGGACCCGAACAGGAAGCCCTGGATCAGAGTGGTCCCTGCCAAACCTCAACTGCAAGCTCCGGATCAGAATGTTCCCCCCGGACCTCAACCACACAGAATCTCCGAAGATATACCAGAGATAATTAGAACGCCAGCAAGAATGCCAGAATATATGCCAGAAAATATGCCAGAATAGATGCCAGATAGAATGTCAGAAAGAATGTCAGAATATATGCTATAAAGTATGTCAGAGTAGATGCCAGATAGTATGTGAGATAGAATGTCAGAATAAATATGCCACACACACACACACACTTCCAGATGGTATGTCAGAAACTATATCAGACTAGTGTTTCAAGGCGGGGATCACTCGAAGAAATTATGTTATTTTCCTTTTGGAACCAAACATTTCCTGAGAAGGTACGGCTAGTCCCTTGTCAAAAAAAGCCTTCCCAACAAAGTATGGCTGGACCCATACGGCCTTTTCATTGGGCACCCATGGTCGGGTTTTCCCCTCATCGTCGATGTTTTGCCTGGAGACACTCTGAGGCCTTTTGCGTTGAAAGTCCTGCGTCAAGACTTCGTGCATGCGTTGGTCAGCCGGGAACTGCCACGGGGAGGTCATGTAGCCACAAGGTGGTGTCCCATACAGCATGTTTTGTGGTGGATGTATTTGTAGTATTCTGTATAGTTATAGTTGGGGTTTTGAAACCTATTTATTACTGGGGGCACCACCTGGCAAACCATTTCGGTTTCTTGTGTTTACACATTTACGGGAAAAAAAGGACACAGCTGAAGTTGGGTTTGCCACATTTATAGCCCTTGTATGACCCTGTGTATTTGCACTAGCGGTCACAATAATTTTAGATTGTGAGTGGCGGATATAATGTTTTTTCACATTGTCACAAGTTGCGCTTGGTAAACATGTGAACATTGCGACTTTTTTTTTCGTTAGTATTTGTCTATGCATTCATGATATTTCCATAAATAGGATAATATATATATATATAGATATGTCATTTTTTCGCAGATCTCCAACGATTGCTAAGTACACTACTTCATTGATTTAGTTTAGCTAGGGGAACCCATTAGTAGAACTGAGTTATGTTGAAACCTGAACACACACCTTGAAATTGGTTGATAGATCCCGATTGTACCAGCTAGGATGATCCAAAAAAGTGATGAAAGTGTCAATGATGGTGTATACCCTCTGGTAAACTAACACAGCTATTGAAAATTGCCATTTATAGTTGATTTACCCAACTATAAAATGGTGATTTTCCATATATAGTTATGTTAGTTCACAGGGTATCCGGTTGACACGTCGGCTTGTTTTAAGATTTACCTTAACATATCTTAACTAACTTAACGCTTCCGCAAACAAGGTTTGTATGTCAAACAAGGTTCATTTGGCTCATAGCCTCCAGCAACAAAATCGACCGCCACTCGCCTTTGGTGATACTGTTCTTGCGACGTGAGAATTTGCTGATGGCGACAATGACTCAAACCGTGGCAGTTGAAACTGAGAGAAGCTGGGGCAACGGTTCTTCATGTGGTCACTTGACTTCTTTGCCACTTGAAAATCCCCAAAAAATGGCAGTTCAGACCCTTGTCTGATTCGTTTTGGTAAATTATTGCGACGTCTCTGGTTGACCTCTCCATGATGCCGGACAAGAATTTTGATTAGGCCAATTTTCGATTTGGAAGTCTGTCCACCTTACCCAGAATCATGTTCCCAAACATCGATAACCTCTTCAAAACTGAATTTTCTGGTTGATTTGCGCTGGCGGATCTGTTCATTTTGGGCCCCCAAGCTTGGCCACGAATAGTCACGGGTTAATATCCATATAACAATGTCAGGAAGCGTCCCAGGGAAATGAAACCACGATTTCGCAATTATATGATTTTTTCTTCGGTGGGGGGAGCTGTATATTCACTCCTCTGTTGGTCCAAAAAACTCAATTAGTTGCCTGCTACTAAGTTCCCCGGAACTTTTCCTGCTACTCAATTAGTCTACGGGGGACTTTCCTGCTATAAAATAAATCTACAGGAGCCTTGCTTAGCACCCAATTAATCTACGGGAGTTCCTGCTACTAAATTTGTCCAGGGGTGGTTGTCCTGCAGCTAAATTAGTTTCCGGGACTATTCCAGCTACTCCATCAGTCTACGGGAACTTTTGCTGCGCTTACCTTAGGTTCCAGTGCTACTTCCTCCAGCGTCAGTGAGAAGAAACCTTTGTCAGATCAGGACGTGTTGAAAAACGAAACGCGACAAAGGTCAAATTGATGGGGAAAAACAATGGGAATGGGTGACACTTTAAGGCCCGGACAACAGATTGGTATGTCGATTTTTTGTATTAACCATCCAATCTTAGGGCTATCTAAGTTTGACCCAGACCCATGTGTTCAACACCAACTCAGTTTTGGGAACATGATGATCAACAGTTGAATCAGTCATCCAATTTGGGGCTCCTGACTATTTGGTGGTTCGGGGTATCTTGGTTGTGCTAATCCCTTTGATTTTAAAGATATGTCAAATGATTGGGACCAGTAAAATAGCTGTGGTATCGTTACCCAATTATGTACTTGCACTATGGGAAACTCACTGGCAAAGGCCAATGGAGCGACAAAATTAGGTCTGCAATTTGAGGTTTTTTTAACAGGGTCAAGCCTTGGTTGTGTAACATTTATGTAGACTTCCCCATGAGTTAAGATATAACCGCTATAATCACGTTCTTTTGAATAGCTAGTTCGATTGAACTGAAACACCAAGAAGCTAAAATGTGTGGTGAGGTCCCCCCACAGGCATTAGAGATAGTCAACTGATAGTTAACCAACTTATCGAGGCAGATAACAATAGATGTACCATGCACAACCTGAAAGACACCACGACTCCACGACGCCTTTTTCAGTTGACCTGGGAAAACATCATCGATGCGCCAGGAACGGATGCCTCCAACGGCCTCCCTGCTGTTGATCCACTACTTCCTGGTTTTGGCCACGGTAAATCTGGTGATCACCATCCCCACGGCCAATGAATATTCGGAGCGCTTGGGGGCTGGGCGCTTGCTACTTGGAATTCCGGGGGGTGGTAGGAGGGAGAAAATTTTGTGGGAAGGGCAGTGTGGGTTCGATTTGTTTGACCGATGTTGACTCAGTTGCTGAAATTAGATGAGAAAAGGTCTTAAATTTCAGAAGCTGATGAATGAACCTAGCTGTTGGGTCCACTAAGTGGGGGTATCATATATATATAATATAATATACATAGATGCATAGACACATAGTTACATACATACATACATACATGCATGCATACATACATACATACATGCATGCACGCATGCATACATTCATACATTCATACATTCATACATTCATTCATTCATTCATTCATTCATTCATACATTCATACATTCATACATTCATGCATACGTACATGCATCCATGCATCCATACGTACGTACCTACGTGCATACATACATGCATACATACAGACACATACATACAGACACATACATACATACATACGTACGTACGTACGTACGTACGTACATGCATGTGCATGCATGCCTCCATCCATACAGACAGACAGGCGGACAGACAGACGGACAGACGGACGGACGGACAGACAGACAGACAGAGATGCATAGATGCATAGATGCAAAGATGCATAGATACATAGATACATAGGTAGATAGATAGATAGATCGATAGATAGATAGATAGATGGATAGATGGATGGATGCATAACAATAAAATATAAAGAACAATATTTAGTATTTAAATATATTTAATATATACACATTTTTTCACAATTTTACACATATATGCATAAACCGGTGGCGACTGTGGTTTCCAACGAATTACCCAGCGGACTAATTATCCAACGTGAATAGTAGGGCCACGGTATCAGTTTGTCCAGAAGGGAGGGTGGGGTGGGGAGTGGGGCATATCGAGTGTTTCATTATGTTGTCCCTTACTGTAGTAGCATCGCTAGTTTGTGGTAACCCCTATGGGCAAAACGAAATTGGTTAGGAAAAAAAGGACGTTAAAACGTCATTTGCTTTATTGAACATGAATCCAATCAAAGGATCTTAACAATATGTGTATGTTTTTGATTTATATTTTTCACATGGGATACGTATTTGTTTTAGGGGTTGGAACCCCTCATTAAAACATACATTTGATACTAGGGAGGGATCATCTATGATCCTACGTGGGTTGCGAAATCCTGCGCCACCAAAAGGATGCTTGAAACTCTATAAATAATGGGATGTTTACCACCTATTAATCTCTTAACTGGTGCAGGATTTCGCAACCAACAACAGTCAACAGTATGTTTTTGACAATTCCCATTATGTTGCCGGTCACTACGAATGTCGTGTTTTATGGTTGCTTCACGCCGTCACGGCCTCGAACTTTTGAGGTTTGCTGGACTTATGATTGGTTGCTTGCCTATCCTGGGCATTGCCGGCAATTTGGTGAATCAGAAACTCTTTTCCTGTGGCTCGGTGTGTGATTGGCACTGCTTGATTTTTGGGTTTGTCGGAAAAAAATCTGAAAACAGGGTATACCTCAAACATCTATGGTTTATGTTTAAAATTGCCATTGGAGGGAACACAATCTGAGACAAACTTGCCTGCAAAAGTGACTGATTGTTTCATCACTGGGGTATAAATTTGAACATACCTTGACATTACCCCGTGCCCCGCCTGACATGTTTACCATGGCATGGGGCATAATGGGGCCACTTCCCACTTCGCCTCCCGAAGACTTTTGGAGATGGGTATGCCATGGTATGCCCTTTGTTTGATCTATCCATATCTATCGAAGAACAGGCACATTAGAGTCAACATGGAGGACTGATAAGTGAAGGGATCCACGACCAAACAGCTATTTATTGCTGTGAGGACAGGGAAAAAATGGCCACAGATGGTTCATTAGAGTTCATGAGTGGCTTCAATCATTGCTATATGCCTGGTTGGTTTAGAGTTGTTTGGACTTGTTATATGACTTCTTTATCCGTTCATTTTTGGGGTCCTGTATACTGGGGCAGTATTTTATGTGATTGGGGGGGAATGGGATTATTATAGCAATGAATGATGAATCGCGATTATCCCAGTATATCCCCATATATCATCATATCCCCTATTAACCCCCCGGTTAAATCCAACTAACATTACTGGCACAGCTTCTGCAAGGTTTGCCCTTGAAGACCATTTGGATTTTGAATTGCTTGGGAACAGTGCTGGGTTGCGTGCTCTACGCTTTGGCGGGTCTGTGCCCTGGCACGATGGTCCCTCCCTCCATGCTCCTGTTGTTTCCTGAAAAGGAACATGTTCTACAAAGAAATGGTAAGGGTTCCATATCTATGTACTAAATTACTGGAGGGTAACAGCAACCTATAGTTTTCTATTTGTGTGTTTTGTCATATTCAACGATCATTTTGAGGGCCAAGGTATTATCACGCTTAGAACTTAGAACCTCATGTGTCCAATATGACTATAGACTTTGTGGGTTTCTTTGAACATGGGATATACGGTATACCGGTAAAGCCCCCAATTATGACCGTGTGGTGGGGACATATGATGATAACCATAGGATTTGTTGTTTGTGGGGTATCCTATTTTGAGAGACACCCATACGGATCTTTATGCGTTGTGTTACGTCAGCATCAAGAGATGCCTGTTTTGGGATTTGCACTGCCTAATCCAGATGTTTGCAAGACCTCACGTTGCGTAGCACTGTCTACGCTTCCACATATTTTATGGGTAGAGTAGAGTGCGAATGGAGAGATTTGCATATACTCCTGACTCCTGAATACCTGTTTCCTGCTGGCGCCACTTTGTGCAATCCGTTGCAGGATGAAATTCAAATGGACACTATTGATCTCAAGAGGTAGCTTGATTGAATGCTGGCAGATGGTTGGGGCAACCCTCAGTTGATGGCCATCAAATATTGGTGAATTTGACTTTCTAAACCATATACTCTTTGGTTATTTAATGTAGTTTTGTACAAAATAGCCATTTGTTTCTCAGGTAAACCATCATAAGTAATCATAAGTCAGCGGCAATGTGAGTTTTCCATAAGTTCAATAACCACAGGTTGTAGGTTTGGTGTTTTTTTGCCCTATGGACAGCAGAGAAATCCGGGCAGTTCCCATGGTGACTGGAAGACGGTGGCCCGGAGATTTAATGCCAAGTAGCACCAAGCGTCTATGGGACATGTAGCACTAGGGTTGGCTTAGAGTCTTAGAGTTTGGATGAAAAAAAAGCATTAAACAAACAACTTAGAGGTACTAGTTACTAGGGGTTAGTTTGTCTTAGAGCCTTAGAGCATTAGAGTCTTAGAGTATAGAGGGTTCAACCGGTACTTGGCAGATATGAGAATGTTCACTCGATGCAAAAAGCCTATCAGACTCTCCAACAATTGTATATTCAACTGGCGTTTTAATGGTAATGCAGTTCTTTTTATACGATTATGAGCCCATTGGGTGCAGGTATATGTATGATTTTTTTTTTTTAATGTATATATATATATACACATACACATGTGTAATAGAACCCAATCAACATCAATCATCGATAAGTTTTCACCATTAGCAGCACATTGATCCAAATGTTCCAAGCATATCCAAGATTCACCATATCAGTGTTGCTTAATACCATCAATATATACCCCCAGGCCCATTTCCGAAATTGGTTGAGCAATGTTCAAAACAAGCTTGCTTGATGAGTATAGAGGTTTTTACCTACCCAACATTACAAAGCAGTCAATTCCTGTTGACCCGCCAGTATATGACCGAGGAAAATTGAACAGCTCACTGTTTCATCATAAATCCGACTTCACAGATGATGACATATCCACTACAAATCCAACTGCAAGCCGAGTCCTGTCTACCAACTTAGGCTTAAAATCATCACAAACTCGATCCTATCAGATCCCATATCCATCCATATCCCATATCTCCATGATATCCCCATCATATCACCATGAGTATATCCCCATGGTCATTCCATATCATTCCATATCCCATATCCCCATCATCAAATGGACGGCATCATAGACCCCTCCATCTCGCTCCACGGCACCGTCGGCCGGTCGGGCCGTCGGAGATCGAGGCCTCATGGGCTTTTGTAGCGCCTTCAGCCTGCCGGGGATCTACGTCTCGCACACCGTGGGCCTCAAAAGGTGTGGGAAATTCCATGGTGGTCCCATGGGGAATCACGGTGATGTCACAAGAATGTTAATCCCGATGTGATGACATAGCAATTCCCATAGGATCCATGGTGCTGCCATATATGGTAACATGGATCCCATCAAAATACCCCCAATGTTAGCATATATACCATACATGGATCCTATGGGATTGTTAAATTGTTGTGTCAAATCCTCTAGCCGCCGGCATCACCCAATCACCTGTCGCACACCCAAAATCACTCGCCATGCCGCTGGCAGAAATGACCAATTGCAGCGAACCTGCCATCTCACGTGGCAAAGATGGAGTGGTTGCAATGAATTCTTCATGTGCCACTGTTGCCTACATTGCTGGGACACATGAAGTCCCGACTTCATCGATGACTCCTTTGCCACCTCCTTCTTTTGATCCAGATCGTCCAGGAGATTCCTCAACGTGGGGCCATGGGCAAAAAACGTTCATCTCGACGCTGGAGCTGAGAGATTTCCACATCTACATGCCAACGATCCATTTTGCACACCTTTTTTGGAAGAACAATGTTTCTCCCTACTGAAATCTACTGAAATGGTTCGCCCCCTAATTAAACAGCCTAGGGGGTCATTACTCCATGAGTCACATAGTGAGTGACATCAACTAGGATTTATGGTGGATACATTTGGATACTGGATATCTACAGTCAATAATCCAACGTAAAAGTGGGGAGGAGAGACCACATCGTAGCTTCTTTGATTTGTGTTTGCCCAACATTTGCTTGGAGAATGCAAACACAAACATGTAATGATGTAAAGCCAAAAAAACACCATGAAAATCACAATTTTTGATGTACACCATTGTTAGGCAAACCCATGTTTAAACAGTTCTTATGTTCTAGCTACAAAGGTGCGGACATCTGTCCCATTTGAACACAAATTACTGTATATGTTCCCTGTGTGGAATATACAATCTTAAGCTCTTAAGCAGTCTTAGGCCGTGTTTGTTGGTGAATGCTTGGTGTTTTCAGAGCTTGGAAATGCCGGTGTAGCTTGCACCAAGTACAATTTGTCCGTTTTGACGACCCACCAGCAAGCCAACATCTTTGGCAGATAATCACCATGTTAATTTTGCTCAACCCAAGTCCAGCTTGCAAGCTGGCCAACCATATTTGTTTGGTGAACTAACAAGTGAAAGGCCCACTCTGGCATCAAGTGTGAGTACATGCTGAATATCATGTTTGGCTCCTAGCCCTATGTGTTTATTTCCAGTGCTGAAAACATGTGACTCCAGTCTTGCTGATTTCTGATGGTTTCTGGTAGTTACTAGCCTAGGATATATCAAGGATATACCGATATACCTAGGAGATGTCTAGGATTGATGAGTTAGTTTAGGCAGGCATGTCATCACCCCAACTCGGGATCCACGGAGCCGCCGATATCACATGATATCACCAGGCGTAGCGAGATCTTGTTCTACTTCTCTGCTGTGCTAACCTTGGGATGCTTGGAGATCTGATCGAGGCCTCAGTTGATGGAAGTGCTTCGTTAAAACATTCAGAAATCACCAAGAAAGATACTCCAACCAAGAAACAATTGTTTATTGAAGGGGATAGAACAATATAGAACCATGGACAATTGGGATGTGATTGAATTTTCAAACAATGTGGCATGCCGCGGGCTATGGCCTGGGGGAAAAAAAAACAGGGGCGGCATCATCACCGGAGGATCTCAAAAGGTTGATGAATGTCAAACAGTTTGCTATTGAAAATGGTGATTTATAGTGGATTTACCCATTAACAATGGCGATTTTCCATAGTTTTTTAGTTTACCAGAGGGTATATATATATATATAAATGATACTAATATATATATGATAATATAATATAATATAATGTAAATATATATACCTCATTATACCTCATTATTTAGTCACATGATCAATCAGTATTATATATATATAATATGTAATATATATATATATCAATCACACTATATATATATTGCACTATTTGTCATGTGATTGAGAATGATATTTCTAGTGACTCCCTTAAAAAGATGCAAATGCCGTGGTGTTTCCAGGATGATATATAGATGCCAAGGATGTGCCGTGGGGCCCGCTTTGGCCGCTATGCTGGAGGCATTCATGAAGCAACTGGCATGAAGCAAGGGGCCGGTGGGGCCTTCCCAAATGAGACCAAGAAATGTGGTGTTTTTAATGTGCTCAACCAAGAAAATAGAGGGTTTTCAACAAAGGAACATGACATGTACGCTAAGTGCTGAGGATTTTTGCGGGTAAGAAACATGGCAACATGACCCTGATTTGGAGGAAAAAATGGCCCCCGCTCCCATGTTTTGCTCAGATTTTCAAGAGCCCCTGAAAATACACAGCTTGTATCATTGGTTGGTGATTTGGAACCATGGAATTTTATGACTTTCCCATCATATTGGGAATGTCATCATCCCAATTGACTTTCATATTTTTTCAGAGGGGTAGCTATACCACCAACCAGATTATCATCATTATCAACCATATATTAACAGTATAACCATATATTAACAGTATATTACCAACCTTTGCTGGTCATTTGCTGGTCATTTGCCCTTTGCTTCGTAGATCTTCATAGTACTTGTTGAGTGGGTTCATCCCCAAGATCAGCTGGTGATTGTGCAATGTGAGGGATTGAACCATCAAACGTGCTGGAACATTGATTTAACTGCCACATATGGGGACGAGCAATTGATTTATTTGATTTATGATAGATCTTCATGACTTGACCAACGGTGGTATATATACATATATACATACATATACTATACTTACCTATGGGTTTATTCAACAACTTGTCCATCATAAAACGGATCCCCATTGTTTTTTTCCAGACGTCGTTGTCCAGTCCGAGGTTCATCCGAATCGAGAATTTGGTCTTGGACTCGGACACTATCCCTGGATGGTTTATGGCGGTGTTGTATCTCTTGTTCACGGTGGCGTCCCCGGGATGGTGGATGTCGGGTAACCGGAAACCCCATTCTGGCTGGTTCCTGTATTTTTTTACTGGATACTAGGGGTGTACCCAGTTGATGAGTGGAGTTGTTCATAGGTTTAATGTAATTTGAGGAAGCGTCAAGCGGCGCTTGACTTATCACGGATGGTTGCATCTACTTCCCACCACCGCTCGCATCCGTGCGCCCCCAAGGAATTAATCTCATATATTGTACATACGTGGCAACATCGGGGAAACCGGAAACTGGAGTAGCAGATGCTAAAGATTTCCAAAAATCAGAAAGTTAGGCAGGGTTGCTGTAGCTGATTATAGGTGTAAATGATGGCTACTCTTGGAAGTAAATTGGCAAATTTACCATATTTGACCTCTATATTTACCAAGTCCAATCTGGGGCCAGGGAGTAACCCTGTGAATCGACATGTTGGGAGTTGCTGATACATATGTATTTTCAACATCTGTGAAACATCTGAAACATAAAGGGAAAATCTTAAGTGCAAACCATGGATGTTCCTATGAAATATGCGGTTTCCTGTAATGTTTCCCTGAACCAAATCATGAATCCCTGGTGAAAACGTATCTTGTTCCATCGGTAAATCCACCAGTGGGTAATCTACTATAATCTACTGGGAATATATGTATATATATTTTTATATATATATATATATATGTAATTTACATTAATTTACTATAATGTACTATAATCTACTATAATCCACCATTGGGTAATCTACTATATGTGTTTTTTTGTTGTTTAATATTATATCCCTTGAGCAAATACCACGGTTTTTGTTGAGGATGTTCCTTTACAATCCTTTACCTCCATAGGTCCCTGAGATGTCCCCAAAAAACAGTGAGATCAGCGTCTGATTGGGGGATCATCCCAAAGATTCAGAAGCTTTCAGAGTTGGGAATGGTTCCAACTTGGGGATGATCCCCATGGTTAGCAATTTTTAAAGACCTGCATTGATTATCTGATTACCAATGATTACTGTAGCTCAATCTTGCTTAGCTACAAGAAAACTCGTTTATGGCTATTTGTGTTGCCATAAACGGGTTTTCCAAAAGAGACACATTTCTGGGCAAACCCAAATATTGATTTTGAGGCTTCTTCACTATGTATCAGCATGATTTTCAGAGAGTTTCACTAGTGCGGCAGGCGAAGCTCATCTTGCTGCTAAAGGATCTGCCCATTGATGCCCTGGCAGTAGAAGTTCAGGGCAGGACCTTAGAGAGCCTCGGTGAAGATAGGTAGTGACTGGCTTGCTTCAAAACTACTGTAGACTTGGGTGGTGTATTTCATGTGTTATGGATATTTGTATATATATATATATATAAAGTTAGATGAGTTCCTTAAAATGGTGTTATGTAGAGCCATTTTAATGTGGTAAACCCAATAATAAGCAATCCACTGAAGGGTTATTGTATGCCAACCTATAACGGGATCTTTGCAAGTTGCAATGAATGATGAAGGTTTGATCAGTCGAAATGGAGATTTAACAAACCAAACATGTTAATGTTTATTTGAACGTATGGGTCATGGATACAGGGGGTTACTCGTAACATGATTACTGGGGGTAACACACACACACATATATATATATATATACATACATAATGATCAAACAGTTGTGATACGAGTGTATTTACTGTATAATTTACTGTATATTATATAATTGATTTTAATTGTATCTATACGGTATCCCAAAATGTGATACCAATATATCATAGGGTCCAACAGTCCAACCAATCAATAATGGACAGTAGAGGATAAATCCCTGAAAAATAGTGGCAGAAAACCAAGAATCATAGGTATGTAATGAGATATTTTTGGATAGGTGTAACCAACGATGGAGGAGCCAGCAAGTTGGGGTATTGTTTTATTTGCCACATACTGAGATACCATAATAAGATGATGGGGATATCTGGGTACGTAATTACTAGGTCACTAGGTATTGACCAGGGGGCTGGGTCAAGTCAGAAACCAATGGACCAGCAGCGAAGGTTGGTCCATATTTATAATGTCTACACCATCTGTCGACATGGAAGCCCGAGCAAAATGGTTCGATCCAAGCGGGCCCGATGGCAGATGCAAAATTGACATCTTTTGACCTCACTGTGACGGATTGGTCGCGTCGGTGAATTGGTGAATTCCATGTGAATTGGTGAATTCCATGACCCAACTGATCTCTCGTGAAATTTCCAGAGGGTATATACATATATATATATGCCAACCCCCCCCCTGATACCTACTTTTTACTGTTAATTCCTTCCTTTCTTCGTAACTACATCTGTGCTGGCAGCAAGTCATTTGCAAGAACCATGTGGGTTACATGCTTGAGGGAGCGTGGGTTCAAAAGGATGAAGCTATGAAGGCTTTGCACAAAGTGCTGCGTTACAAGTTCTCACTTGGGCAAACTACAGCAAGTACTTTGCACGAATCACGGTCACATGCTTGAGGGAGGGTGGGTTCAAAAGGATGAAGCTATGAAGGCTTTGCACAAAGTGCTGCGTTACAAGTTTCTCACTTGGGCAAACTACAGCAAGTACTTTGCACGAACCACGTGGTTCACGTGCTTGAGGGAGGGTGGGTTCAAAAGGATGAAGCTATGAAGGCTTTGCACAAAGTGCTGCGTTACAAGTTCTCACTTGGGCAAACTACAGCAAGTACTTTGCACGAATCACGGTTCACATGCTTGAGGGAGGGTGGGTTCAAAAGGATGAAGCTATGAAGGCTTTGCACAAAGTGCTGCGTTACAAGTTCTCACTTGGGCAAACTACAGCAAGTACTTTGCACGAACCACGGTTACATGCTTGAGGGAGGGTGGGTTCAAAAGGATGAAGCTATGAAGGCTTTGCACAAAGTGCTGCGTTACAAGTTCTCACTTGGGCAAACTACAGCAAGTACTTTGCACGAATCACGGTTACATGCTTGAGGGAGGGTGGGTTCAAAAGGATGAAGCTATGAAGGCTTTGCACAAAGTGCTGCGTTACAAGTTCTCACTTGGGCAAACTACAGCAAGTACTTTGCACGAACCACGTGGTTCACGTGCTTGACACTTTAGGAAGGGTGGATTCAAAAGGATGAAGCTGTTGAGGCATAACATTATATTGAGGTAAAGAGTGGCACTTGCCTACGGTTCGACGAAGACCCCTGCAACCGCAGTAGCTCCCACGATATAGCGAAGAGAAGAAGCATCCTTTTTTTGGCCATCGCACGCTCGCACTCGGTAATCTACCCCAGATACCACTGTACAAGTGCGCCTGTGCATGTCCACAGGTCTTTTCCTCGATTCCAGTACTCGTACTGGCCCGATCTCAATTGCATGCAAAGCATGCGAGCCCCGACGCATGCCTGCTGGTTCAAGGTCACGCGTTCTTTTAAAAAACGCCAGCATCGGTCGACGATCTGCGTACCGGACTTCACCTGCATGACTTTGCCGCCAGGAAGACGATGCTTTTGGACCTCGACATACTTCGGAGCCACCCATCGAAATTTGTTGCCCACCTTTACTCGTGTCTTCTTGTGTACGATACGGTCGTGTAACATACCTGGGACTTGTGCCCGGTAACTCTTCGCAGAATCTGTGTGTAGAATGACATTTTTTCCCTCCAGCCATTTTTTGGCAATTGGCTTCCACTCGACTTTGCGCACTGCTCCCGGGCCCGGAGCGCGCAGTGCTGCCAGCGGAGGTTTCAGGCGGTGCAGCACAAGCGTACCCGGCTTGCCTCGCTGCACTATGCCACACCACTGCTCCCATTGGACTTGCCCTTGAACAATCTTTTTGGCAAACGTGGCTTCGTCAGCTTCCACATCTGCCCATTCATGTCCTCGTCCAAAGCAAATCTCCTTCTCCTTTTCCAGGACGTAAGCTTCACGTAGTGTATACAGCCTCTTCTGCATGTCTTCAATGGCTTTGTGATTCACATACATAAGGCGGTGGATGGCTGCATGTGGCACACGGTTCAGCAAGAGCAGCAGCAAGGCTGCCTGCGTTGAAAGTGGAGTATGTGACTTGCCCCAATGGTCCACAAACAAAGGATGGGCATAGTGAGGACTGATATATGCCTGACAGTTTTTGGCATTGCACCTATGTTTCGGTGGGCCGCCCTGTCTCTGAGGAGCCAACTTCCCCAGGGTTCCATGCTGACAGCGAGGACAAACGGACCCTTCCAAACGAGGTAGCAAACCATCTTTTCGCAACAGCTCCACTAACGCACGGGGCGAGCATGTCAAGAGCTCTGGCAATGACCTTTTCCATGAGTCTCGATCCCCCCGCACCTGCTTCACAGCTTCAGGATCACGAACATAAGGAACTCGTTGCCAATTCGCCTTCTTCTTTGGCCTGAGGTAAGCAGGCCGTTTCAAAACTTGCCGTGTCTTGCCCTTCTTCGCAATGATGGGGTTGAAGCGCGGCGCCATACTCTCTACTATGGGAATGCTTGTTTCTCTAAGATCCAAAAGCTTCTGGTAGAAGAAAACATAACAATGCTGATCGGTTACAAGTATGCGATGACCACATTGGACCAGTGAAGTGACACAAGCTCCTTCATATGTTTATATTACCCATCGAATGCTGCCAACTGCTGGGATGGCATGATTGTTGCAAGACAAGCACGTACACACGTTCTATGTTATCTTGCTTATGTCTTCCCAACAGCAACACGCACAGCTTCTTTTTATCGCCCGCTACTGTGAGCAGATGTCGCTCCCCATATTGTACTATATGTACATGCCACACGACGGCATTCCCGGCTCACTCATGGAGGAAGATTGCAGCCTCTGTGTCCGCCTCGAAGTCATCTCCATCTGGACCAGTAGATTCTTGCCACTCTTCTACCGCATCCATCTCAGCAGCCTGGGCCAAGGCTTCCAAGTCGGCTGATGAACCATCTGCAGGAGCCTCCTCTGGTCGACTTTTGGTTCTCAGACGCTTGGCAGGTGGATAGCGGAACTGCCCAATCCGATGGCAGCGCAAGGCCGGATTTGGAATGATGACTGGCGGAGGTGGCAGAACAGTTTCTTCTTCCTGAGACGATTCTCCTTCTGGCCTGTCAGAGAGA